AGAAGAGTGGAAAGCTTCCCAGAGATTCCACAGGGAGAAGTCTGATTTATTTAATACAGATAAATATGACAAAAAGATGTTCATATCCCAAGTTCTAATAAGTTTATGCTTGACAGGAGGAACTGAAGGCAGTCTTGAGTAGCAGCTAATACAAGACGTTAAATAATAGAGTTGGAACAGGAAAAAAAGCAGCTGCAAGCAGATAAATTCGAGTTAAAGGCAGGAGATTTTGGACATTGAAAATTTTTCAGTTAAGATATTATGTTCCAAGGGAGATTATGTCTTTTTTCAATGACTTATCATTTGTATTGTGTGGTAAATTCCAAGGGAGCTTCACAGATCCTCTAGTATTTAAGTTGAGCAGAGAATGTTTAAATATGAAAGGTCAAAGCTGGCTATGAAAAGACAAGTGAGAAAGTAAACAAAGCGTAAATCAAAATTATTTTCGAATCTGCCACCATGGAAACTTCACCTTTTCCCCAGAGGCAGAGAAGTTCTATTCTATATTCAAACAGGAATTTGGGGGTTGCTTTAAAAAAACATTGTAAAGCCATTAGATGATTCCTCATGAGTATTTTTTGAATGTTGCTGTTGTTTCTTTGAGCAAAGCAATACTCTATGTGTTTGTTAATGAGTTACCAATTTTTTCCCATGTTGAAAGCCTCAGAAAAGTTTGGTTTCATTAGGAAGGTATTTGGGTTAAGTTTCTGAAGCAGGTAGATTAAGTGGAAGAAAAGGAGGCAATTTGGACACAGGCTGTGGCTTAACCCTGCACTGAACAGCATTTGCATGTGGCTTTGGGAAAAGTTTCATAAAAGTTTTTATAGCTAAGAGAGATTTAGGAGAATGACATTTTACAGTTGCTGGATTTTCTGTCCTCAAGAAAGAAGACACTAGCTTGTTAAAGCTTATGAATAAATACAACTTCAACAACAACTTATTCTTGCAAGATCAGAAATATTAAGCAGGTTCTTAGGGTAAACAGGTAGTTCATATTAAAACTAAATTACTTTTAAACTGTAGTAGAATATCACAATCCTTTAGTATGCAAAACTATATTGGAAATCTTCTTCTAAAAAGTTCTAAAAGCAAGAACACTTCTTTCTTCCATCTTCTCAGCCTGGCATTGCTTCCATCAATCCCCTGGGTAAATCCAACAACTTCTGGGAAGTTTGTGTGAATCTCATGGTGACAAAAGCAGAATTTAGTCAAAATTATATGGATAAATCTCTTGACTGTTTTCTGAGATTCTCTCCTATTATTAATCCCTATTCTGGGACATACACAATTGTGATGATATTAATCACAGTTTACTCTGCAGAGAAAAAGTCAATAACATGTTTAACTCTTGATTTATACACAAGCTTTAAGTATTTCACCTGTGTAATTCTGCACAGTCAGTAGCTTATTTTTCTAATTAAAACTTTATTTCAGCTCTAAGTGGACCTGATTTTGCCCTTACTAACAGCAAGTTTATTAACATAACTCTCATCAATCAAATGGTAGTAGTGTCTTAATGAGAGTAATGTAGGAAAAAGTAAAATCAAAGCCATTGACTTTGAAAAATAGTTTTGTCAGTCTGTTTACAGGTAAACAGTGCTTACTGAATGCTTAACAGAATGCTGGGCAGGGTAGGGTAGGGAAGGAATTTTTTACTGCTTAGAGACCTGTTTTGAAGGTCCAATTGGCAAGACCATGAAAAAAAAGGAAATAATTTGCTCAGTAAGCAAAATCAGACAGTAAGTCCAACTACAAGGACTAATCACCTTTGTCCCTTTCATATGTACTACAAACTGAAGGCTCAACTGCACATTAACATAACATATTATGTTTCACTCAGCATTTTGTTATGGACATCAGAGTGTACATCTTACCGACGTAAAAAATTTATTACTGTTTTCTACCTTCTCTCTATTGTCTCTACTGTTCACCAGTCTGAAGTCCAGGAGAGGGCATGGACTAGTTGTTTGGTCACTGTTAAACAAGTTACAGATAGGTCAAGTAAAATCTGAGATTCTGGTTTGCCAGTTCGGCACAAATCTGTTGCTTTTCATTTATAACACAGAATTCAGACATATTAGACTGTAACATATGTAATCATCCCTGATTTGTTTCAGCACATATACAATGAATACTAAATTTTCATAATATGGATAGATTTAACTGCTTTAATCAAATGTATAGAACTGAGGTTGTGGTTTCAAAGTAACTGAAGGCATGAAAAGAGCACAAGTTAAACAGTATCTAGGATCATTAAAGAAGAAAATGAAATGCATGTTGGAAAAAAAAGAAGTGATCTATAGAAAGTTATCTAGAAATTGCTAATGCTAACATCAACTATCTGTGGCTTTTTAAAAGTAGTAACAATAGAATAAGAGAGGGAACTAAGGCATGACAGACAGGAATATCTCATACTTAGGCTAAAGATTATTTTGACCTCCAAACAATAAGTGAAGAAGCTTCAGATACACAAAACCATTTTCATAATTTTAACAATATAATTTTTATATTACATAGTCCAAGAATAAAGTACTGAGATGACTTATCCTGTCAATAAAGATGAAGAAGATTGATCAGGAAACAAAGAATTTAATGAAAAATTGAATACAGCGAAATCTTCAGCAGGCAGGACATGCAGTTAAATAAATGAAGGAACAATTAAGTATCTATTGGAAGACCAAAGGAGAACATTCAGTAGGACATAAGCACTCTTGCTGTGATCTGCTAGCACTGTGAAAAAATGATCCCTGACAAATACAGAACAGACAGCAGGGAAGGATCTACGGGAGACAAAGAAAACTGCTAAGAACAGACTATCTGATGGCAGCTCTCAATTTCTGTGATTTTAAATACAAAGGAATGTCTGCTTCATGATTCCAGTGAATCACTTACAATTGATCCAAATGTTTTCCCACAGCATTCTATGTAACTTCTCTTAATCACTGTATTTACACAGAAGTAACAATTTTTCATTCATGCAATTTGATCACCTTAGAGTATTGTATCCATCCATTCACTGTATAAAACAGAACAAGTAGAAGTAATTGGCATAAAAAATGAAGTACAAACCTATTTCTGGTTTCTTATATTAGCAGTAGCTCACACCCTTCTTAACAGTCAATAGATTCTACTTGCTGATTATTTGATGTTCTTGCCTCTAAACCTTACAGCAGTCTACAAAACTTTTTACAGTGTCCTATAGACTATTCACCTTGCTGATTCTATTGCTAAGTAGTAAACACAGGTCCATGTACTACTGCGGAGGCTAGAAGTGCAGTTGCTTTAACTGTGGTTTCTATGCATTATTTAATTTTTACTTCTGTAAAGTGTCATCAAAATATATAACATTGCAGGTGCCTTTCTCTCCTTAAACAAAATATTAAAATAAATTAGGTATGAAAGTTCTGTCAAGTCAACAAGAAAATCTTTTTCATCTACTGTCTGATCCCTCTCAGTCATCGAGAAGCACTTCATAAAGTAGTTTAGTAAGGAGGTTTGCCGTGCCCAGTTACCAGTGAGAAAGGTGGGAATTTAACTATATGTGACAAATGGGAAGGCTAGACTCTCCTGTTTATATCAACTCTGCTCATTCTAAGTTGGAGCTCCCTGAGTCAGTGCTTGCAACTTTAAGGTATTTAAGGAGAACTATGAAAAATAAAAACAGGCAAACCAGAACTCTGTTCCATATCAGCATCTTTACTGCAGAGATGTGCAGGAACAAACTCTGCCACCTGCACATCAGCTTACAGTTCTCTCATGTAATTCCTGCCAGTCAACTGCTGTTTCTATAGCCAGCACTAGACTGCCCAGAATGAAGTACTGATGTCCCCATGTTAATGTGGAAAGCTGACACTAAAAGCTAGCTAGCTAGTTAGTAAATTATGAGAGGTGCACAGAATAAGGACTAAAAGAGACTTTAACTTCCTGCTGGGAAAATGTGATATTACAAGTGGCAGGTATAAGTACAGCAAAGCTATGAAGCAGAAAACACATTTGCATATAGGATGCTGTTTTGGTTAGTCTAGTTCTTTGTGATAACCAGGCTTCATTCCTTCTAGTAGACAGAAGTCTATTCATACCCTGTAGAATTATTCATACCCTACACATGCAGTAACATAGAAGGCTGCATATTTGACTATGTAAAATTCTGCTTTGTCAGCTTTTAATAATAATCAATGAAAAAAGTGTGCATCTTGTATCTATAGGACCAGAGTGGTCAGAGGTCTTTGTGCCAAAGGCAGACCATTTTGGCTTCTAGTAAGCTCAGCAGTTTTATATGATGCATCTGTCAATTCCCTGCACAAAAAGAGAACAAGAAGGTTGCTGTGATATTTGCTGTACAACAGCAGAGATCCTTCTCCAGCCTTCCCTGGTAGATGCTGTATTTTGCTTTCCTATGTTCAGACACACAATTCACTTCACAGGCACTGAAATGCCTGTTGCAACATGATTAACAACAAAGTATTAAACTAAATCAACATTTTCCCAGGATAACTATGCAAATCTAAAAAGTCTATACAAATATTTATGGTAAAAATGGATATTTTTTCTTTTAATGAGAGTTTCCTAATTATTGGGAAGTAATAAGAGCAGCCTAATTGTTAGGCTACTCTCAAAAAAGTGCGTACACTCACCTAATTGTTAGGCTACTCTCAGAAAAGTGAGTACACTCCCCTTTTGAAACCAAATATTTTTGCAGAGAAAACTCCAAGACAGATGGAAGAAAGCAAAAAGAAGCAATGCTGCCTCATACATAACGGGTGATATATTTTCTGGGTTTCTTGACAGAATAAGAATATTTATATCTTCTTTTTTAATCTAACAACTGTTTCATATTCTTATACCTCTTACTCAGTGAAACATATAATAAAGGATTTAATGTGGTTGCAATATAAATTTTAAATTTTGTAAAATGATTGTTCTAATTTTTAGGTACATGATGCTTTTAAACAACACCAACAAAAATTATACCACACTTAAAAAAAACCCCTCACACTTACCCGACGAGATGTCAATCCGGTTCTTCTTCACTTGGGTGACATTGATGTGGACACTAACTTTGCCTTCATTTATGTCAATTTCAACATTTCCCAGGTCATCTGCAAAGTTGCTGAAGACAAGAAGTCCATTTGGATTCCAGGTTCGGAAAAGGAAACTGACCGAAAACAGATCCTGGCTTGGACGACCAGGAACCTCAAGGTAACTGGTGGCATTGAAAAAGACAGGCACTGTATGTGGCTCCACACAAGAAAAACTTAAATTTCCCTAAATAAAACACAAAGAAAGAAGCAAAAATATAAGCAAAATTGTAAGATTCCACTAAATTCATAGTACCTTAGAAAAGTATTCCAGATTTTTTCAGCCTAGAGACTACTGTGATCAATGCATATTGTATATAAACATGTGTTATTAATATTATTGTTATTGTTACTATTATAATGTTGTTGCTGATTTTCTGTTTTTTCTAGCAGTGGCCCTATTGTATTTTGTACTGTACATATGTAAAATAACAGGTAGACTTGGCCCTCAAGAGTTGTAATCTAAGACTGGAATGAAAACTTTAATATTTCCAGTTCAAAGACAAAGAAATGAATAACAGATAAACTTGGGTTGTCCACGGTCGTCACAGAAACCTATAATAGAACAGCAGTTATAAAAATAAGTCCAGCTTTCCAAATACACTTACATCATGTGTCAATCAATACAATACATGAGGTAGGGAAAGAAGGGTATATAATACCTCATGAAGAGCCAGCCTCTCTGTTATGTTTTCTGCTGGATAATACTAGATAAGCTAATACTTCATTTCATGAAGCAGAAGGATTTGGAGTAGCTGATCATGAACAATGCCTAATATTTGTACTCACTAAATAATTTTCTTTATAAAAGAAACTACAGTACAGTTTTCATAGTGTAAAATTTTACTTCTTGGAAAATTGGCAAAAAGCCAGTCAACTTTATTGATTTACAAGGGTTTAAAAGGTATCTATAAACAAGACTAGAATTAGGGATATGAATTTTTCACTCTGGTTCTCATGTCATTTCTCACAAAAGACCACAATGGTAGGATGTACTAGCATTCCTTTTCCTTAGAAATCGTAAATAGTTTGTGGAAATCTATGTCCAGAATTAACTTTTAAATGCATGAATGCAATATAAAAGGAAAACTTCCTCTGCTAAAGAATTCCTAGACTATGTGACAAAGTGGTTCCTGTCCTATGGTTAGATTTTCTGCTGCCCTGTTGCAGGTGAATATTATGTGGCAATTTTAGTTCTATTTGGGAAGGAAGAATTATATCTGATGCAGTATGGAAATTATTAATATGGTCAAGATAGCAATTCCTTTGATATTTATTTGTACATTGAGAAAAATATTAAGGTTTGAGCAACATTTTTAGAGGTATGTTGATGTTTAGAGATGAGGCCCACTTAAGCATGGTTCAGAATCCCAACAGGAGTCACTCAACATCTTTATTGCATAACTATTTTTAAATGCTATATTACTGACTTCCTGATATAAGCTTTTATGTCACATTTTATACTGTATTCATAGTGTATAAATGCATCTGAGGGAAGGTAGAGAATTTGGAAAAAAGGTAGGAACTTTGTGTTTGAAAATGTGTGGGAGAAAAGACCTAAGTAAATCTTTTTAAGAAGTAAATATTTGCAATTGGAGGTGGGTTAGATGATGTCAATATGCAAGCTTAAGCACTCATTTGCTGATGTCCAAACCCATCATTTTTTAAAAGAACGTCACATCAGAAAACAATTGATCTGTGTCATAACAAGATATAACCCTTATGGCTGATTCAGCTTCTTATATAGAATTCTCATGTAAAAAAAAAAAAGAATAAAAATAATATTTTTTCTTGAGCACTCAGATAGATGCTTTGATTATTCTGCATAACAGACTCTATTTCCTACAGAACCTCAGAAGTTGTACACAGTCTACCCATAAAGGCCAGTAGAATTAGTAGTAACTACACTATCAGGTTGGCAGCTCGCATGATCAATTAAGGAACACTGATGTTTCCAGTAATCTGAAACTAGAGAAGAGATTTCTTTAAATTGATTTCTTTGATATGTTCTTCATGACAAAACCTCATGTTCTTTTAATGCACCCAAGTTCCATGGATAGAAAAAAAATATACAAGGAACTAGGAAAATAATTAGCTAAAACAACAAAAGAAAGCTTTTAAATAACTGTGTGATGAGAGAAATTACAAGTACTTTATGAGTAAGGGCAAAAAAATTTCCTTGCTAAGCTGCTTGGCTATTCTAGGTATTTTTTGTGGTTTTGATTTGCTTTCTGTTTCGTTTGGGGTTTTTTTGTTGTTGTTTTTTTTGTTCAGTTGGTTTTTGTTTGGTTGGTTTTTTGTTTTGCTTTTGGGGGGGGTTGTTTAGTTGGGGTATTTTTTTGCGCTTTTTTGGTGTTTTTTTTTTTTGGGGGGGGAGATGTTTAAAAGTTGCCTGGAGATTTTAATTTTACATTTTCAGCCAACTAAGCACTAACTCAAAATAGTTAACTTGCTTGTGGTGAATAGTTTTAATCTGAACATTTCAAAGTGTGCTACAGAATACATTTGGTTAAACCACAAATTTAACTTACATTAAAAAAAAGGTGGAGACTATAACCCTTGGTTATCATTCTCAGTGTAATGTCACCCTCTGAATTAGAAACAACTTCTGTTACATAGTTAAGGCAGTGCTGTGTGGACTGAGAAGGCAACAGCATTTTTTAAGAGATGACATCTCATGGTTCAGTCACAGATACCAATTAAGAAGTGCTCAGAGAGCATTCTGTTAGACATTTTGAGTTTCTTTTGCTGCCTTGTTACCGAGAGGAACTAACAATTTCCTTGTTACAAGAAGGCTTTTATATCCAATTGATACTCTCCTGTCATGCTGATGTTTTGGATACTTGCATGTATAACACCTATTAATGTTAACGGCACTGAATGGATTCAAATCCTTTTTCACATCAGTGAATGCATTTCCCATGGACAGCCTAGCTGCGTAAAAAGTTTCTTGAGGGATTAACACATAATTCTAATTTCTTTGCTAGTTAGCATTTTCCCTACTGAGCTATTCAGATTAATGTGAACTGGATTATTGATTCCTTCTATGATTGGAGTTCACAAGATGACTCCTCTTTTAAGTACAGTCCATCTTATATAGATTGCTCGCTAGTTCTAGGTCAAGAGTTCAAATTAATCTGCAGCTTGTCTCTATAATAGCCTCCCCATTTTTCAAAGAGAATGAGATCCTCTTCTGTAGATTCAGAGTGACTTGCTGAATAGTTCTCTGGGCAATGACATCTGGAAGTCAAATATATACTGTGCATTAATATTGAAACTGTTGGTGTTATCAGAGAACTTTTCAAAATACATTGATAGGGAAAAGGTAAAAATAACTGATTTTGTGTAGTTTGAGCCTTGTATCATAATCTTTAATCTGTATGGCAAATTAGATTCGTGTTTACTTCTTATAAATCAATTTTGCTTATCCAAATTCAAATATTATCCCTTGCGGCAATACTACTGGGTCTTAAAACCTTTCCCAATTAATAAACCTACTGGCTGAATAGGCCATTCCCAAAAGAGAAGCAATGAGTTTATTAAGACTACACTGCCTGCTAAATCAGGATGGTTCATACAAACAATGTGCTGTATGCTAATGTTTTTTGTGTTATTTCTGTATTTTTCTCAAAATAGCTTATCACATATTTTTGAGCTTAACATGATGTTTGGTTAATATAAATAATTTAAATAAAACACTCAGCTTAAATTTGCATATGATTCCACTCAATAGTACATGGCATAGGAGATGCAGAATTGGGTGGAGCATAGACCTCCTGAATGTAAGGATGGAGAATAGCAAATATGATTCTCCTCAGCATTTTTCAGTTACAGGCTTTAAAACTGGAGAGACTGTTCTGTGGAAACTAAATACAATTAGCACTCACATTGTTTGCCCTTAATATACCTCTAGGTAGGAAAATCTGATAAAATGACTAAATTCCTAAACTCAAATTTCTCTGTATTACTTCTTGTTAACTGCATATCTTAGTATTTTCTCAGTATTGGTACAAGGGTCAATATTATTCATTTATGCAAGGTAATGAAAGTCCTAGAAAGCTTGTTATATTTTACTGGAAAACATGGAAAAGATGGACTGGAAGATAGTTTACTAGCATGTTCCCTGTTTCTGTTTTAGTCCTGAGTCAAGTTGTATACAGAAGTTAGCATCTACTGCATAGTCAGCCACTGCCAACTCTTTTTTACAACTTTATTCAGGAGAAAAGCAGACACCTGACATTCTCTGTTTCAGCTGACCTTTTCTCCATTACTCTCTTCTGACTCATTTGTGAGAACAAATCAGGCTCCACCAATAAGAACAATAACTGCTCAAGACCATCTCTCTGTCTTGTTCTTCCTTAAGAGCTGTTGCCATTTTAAATATAACAAAAGACTCACAAACTTTTTACCTCTTATTATTACCCTCTAAATCTAAAACAAATATATTACTAAAGTCAGTATTTGACTGTATTTTAAATTTAAAATACTTTTAATTTGTCTTTTCACTCTTACTCTTCAATAAATTTAAAAGATGCATGGAGGTGTTTTTTTCTCATAACACGCATGTATATGAGACATAATTATTTAATTCAATTTTTTTTCAGAGTCAAATGATCATCATCTTATAATCTCTCATTTTCTGGGCCTCCTCATTCTGCAAAATTAACTTGTCAAGTCCGTTTCACTGTGTGACTTCTGAAATTCAAATATCTTCATCTAAGAATATTATTTTCTTCTGTCTCACACCTCTTTAAAATCCTTCTTTCCCCTGAATTTTTTCCCTCCCTTTTGATATTCTCATCACCACACAGCTTACTTTGTTTGTGTTCACCCTCATTACACTTTTTTCTGTCTTGCTCCTCTTTGGGGCAGAGTGTGACTACTGTTATGGGTTTGTACATCTCCTACAATGGAGCTTTGATCCCTGTTGGATTGCTTAAGTACCACCATCATAATAATGCTTAGCAACAACAGTAGTTTCAAACAAGTCTTTTTTTGCATGCTAAATCAGGCTAAAATCTAGGAGGAAAAAAAGGGTTTGTAAAAAACATAAAAATTCATCTTGATTTAGAGTAAAATTGATTTTGCTTTTGAAGGGCTGAAGCAATTAAAGTAATTCTACTGGAAACAAAGGTCACTTCTATTTTTATAGCCATTCTCAGAATTGGAAATCAACAGAATCATCAAATTAAACTAGCATTCCATAACCTCTTGATGTAGCTGCTAATATTGTCAAGGCTTTTTTTGAGGATTTTGCTTCCATGTTACAGGCAACAGAATTTAAAAAGCAAAGAAACAAAAAAACAAATAAAAACAAGAATAATGATTTTTCAGAGACTTTACAGGTCTGCTAGCTATGGCTAGGATTTTAAAGGATAGGATTTGCAATACAGAAACCTCTTAAGTAGCACTTCTGCTCAAAAAGAGGCTTTAAGATTACGTCCCACTACCTTGCAATGGGTTCAACCGTGCAAAATGCAAAGACATACAAGGATCTTTTTCTAAATCAGGCATCAATCTTTGAAATCATGGTTACATTACAGCTGAAAATGCCCTACAGGAAGTAAAGCACAGGCAATTTTGAAGAAAAAACCCAAAAAAGTCATCAAAGATACAGGAGTTCATGAGAATGGGTCAAAAAAATTCTAAAAGTGGAGTCTTACTGCATGGCATAAATATTATGCTCTTTGCCTTTGACAACACTGAAGAAATTCATGTACAGAAACTGTTCTAGATATCAGGCTGTATTACTGGATTTGTCTTGGCAAACAACACATATTCAAGATTATTCTGGACCATTTAGCCTAGCATTTATAGAATTAGATGGAACTTCAGTTTTACTATCCAAGGAGCAATTAAATGTTAGTCAATCCTTTGCATGACATCATCATGTATAACTTTACTATTTATTACAGCAAGAGAAAAGCAATAGTGGAAACCTGCATATTTTTAGCAGGACTCAGTGAAGGCTGTAAGCTTGTACTGAAGAAAGTCTTGAAAAGTTATTCAAACCATCTGAAACTCATAGTAATAATACATTTATTTCTTACCCATATTGCCTTATATGCCAGCAAGCAGTTTCAGGAACAGTTTTTTAAAGCCTTAAAACCACAATAATTAAAGTACATTCCTTCTTAATCACCCTGCCCATAAAGCCACAAGTCTGAACATGAAAGCAACTATGAACACTTAAGCAAGATCAAAAATAGAATAAAATGCTAATTATAAGCTCTGCAATGTTAATAAGTAAAACAATGATTTTCAAGTCTAATATCCTGAGGCTTTTCAGACCTACCAGAAAAGCCTGTAGAAGCCCTTCCAAAGACTTCTGTACTACAGCAATCCAGCTAGCTCAGAAGGAATGGAATATACCAGGATTAAAAGCCACAAGAAAGCTGCAATGACTTTAATAATAAGTCTTGTCTGCACTGGTTTTGGACTACTATAATTTGAGAGGAAAAAAAGAAGTACTTACTGGTTCAGTTGATATTTTTAAAACAGTAGTTATCTGATGCTAATTTTGGAAATATGAAACAAGACCCCAGAAGTAAAATGCTCAGATGTGATGATGATGAGGAGGATGATAATAATAATAATAACAATAATAATTCACAAATGTACATACAATAAGATCTTTGGGTTTGTGGTAAAATTTGTTTTGTGTTCCATATTATTCCAGTATTCCACAAGGATATCAGCTACACACACTCATAGACCTCCTACTATTCTTTAGAAGGAGAAGCAGACATGCAGATGACCATTAAATTATGCTCTTACCACATTTGAAGGTTCCAATTTCTTCCTCTTGGCAAGGTCAGTTATATTATTGCCATTGTAGTTGATGCTCTCCATGCAGCCTTTGAAATTTTTCCTACTGTTAGAACTTGGCTTCCCAGAAAAAGGCATGCCTCCAAAGGTTATCTATGAATGAAACAGAAAATGGCATATAGTTACTAGAAGGCAAAGACTTTTAAATCCATTTACTGTAGATGCATTTGTTTTCACTGAATACTCAAACATGGAAAATGAGAGAGCTGGCTACACTGTTAAAAGAAAAACAGTGTATTAGATAAGCACTGCAAAAGCACAAAAATATCTGTAATGAATTTGTGATTGCAAATATTTATGGTAGGAAATCCCAAGTATTATTACAATTGTCCAAATTGTGAACAGACACACATCACAGTTGTTCATATATGAACTATTCTTCTGATTGCTACCAGACAATATGCATTTCAAACAAAGAAATTGGCATAAATGTCCATCCCAGTATTTTTTCTAAACAAAAGTAGACATGAAATTAGCCAGATAATCTGATTCAAATGATTCATTCAGCTCTAACCATGTGCCAGAGCTCAGACTACAGCACAGCAATGGTGGGCTCCAATACGGTACATTATTTTCCCTTGATTCTTATATATCTCCTTCATCTAGAAGAATTTACAGAATCACATAAAGATGTTAGACAGAAGGATCTTCTACTACAGAGAACATGCTTTTATGATGCAGTTATAGTCAATGAGGAGTTACCACATGACTTAGCAGGCCAAATCAGCTACATAAAGAAGATGAAGACAACCACTCAAAGACTTGGATGAGACAAAATAGAAAAGATAGAATTTTGTAGAAAAGAAGAAAAATAGCAAAAAAACACATACCATGACAGTGAGTTAAGAGCAGCTTAAAGGACTTTTTTTTTTTACTTTGAAAATGCAATCAGAACTAATGTTTATTCCTCTTTTGTGTTAACTTTTCTGAAAGAGATTAACCTAGAAACTATTTTGTCTATGAGAAGTTGTTTTGATTCTTTCACGTTAATCCACTGTTAATCACAAAGGCAACACACATAAATTTATTCTGATGACTGACTCCAAAACCATTGAGATAATTGAGAGGAAAGAAAGGAGAAGAGGTTACGGGTTTTGAGTTTATATGAACCACAGAAACGTATACACACACACTCAAATAAATTCCTTTAATGCAAGGGGATCCGCGTACATGGAGAATGAAATGTACCTTTGAGAACTGCCAGTGAGGTCTCTCAAGGTCAGAGAGGATAGGAAGGTGACTTAACTGAATTCTACTGTTACTATGGATAAATTTATTGTACGGAATATATTTGTTATGTAAACATGCCCCATGTATATGTGTATATATATGTCTGTGTGTATATATCTGTATATATACACACACATATATATGCAAAAAATTGCCCAAATCTGGTATATGGCATTCAGCCTAACATTTTCTGTAGCTCACTCACTTGAATAAAATCTATTTATGTGAGTTTTCAGTAGCTCAATTCAGATCTCCAGTGCTCAGTAAGTAACAGAAGTACAGGCACATTTGCTCATTATTTTCTCATTATAACTGCTAGAAAAGAATGTATTCATAAAGATTTGTTGGAATATAAGTAAATATTTGAATCAGTAGCACTTACAATCATAAGTAACTTTCTCAAACATTCATATGTTCTTGATCAAAAGATTGTCTGTAAAAATTTCAATACAGAAGTTAATTCAAACTTTTTTCCGTTACATCATTTTGATTCCTTCTCACTGCTTAAAAAGTTGTAAGAGTAGAAATTACATATTTGGCTCGGCCAACCACATTAATTATCATTAGAAACAGCAAAGAGTGCAAGTTAATATTATACAAAGTTTGCAATAACCAACATGCTGAACTTCATGTAACAATTTTGAGGAACTGAACAAGTTCATAATTGTAGAAGCCAGAGTGTAATCAAACAACAAATCCACATTTAATTATTACCCACGGTTGTGTGCTTTAACCTGGATGATTAAATAAGTTTTCTTACAACTTTTCTAGCTCTTTATTGCTTCTTTATAAAAAGAAGTTACTGATGCCATATTTGTGAAAATACAAGGAAGCATCTACCTAAGACAAGACAGATCAAGATTTGTATTAGTAAAAAGTTCTAATCTGCTTCATTTGCTAAAAATAAATATTGTCACCACAGAATAATGCTTTCTGATTCAAGTGCAAAATTATCACCTGAGTGCAAAAACAGATTGTACGATACTTTTTAAAAATCTACTTTCTTGTTAGAGCAGCTGCTTTTAGAGATTTTAAAAGTCATATATGCTTAGCTTGCTGAATAGCACAGATCTCACACTTTAAAAAAAAGGCCTGGGATGACTGTTACTCCAGATGGGATTTGGTATGCTAATGAAGAGAAACATAATTTACACTTAGGAGGGAACACCATTGGACAGAAAATTTCAGGAAATGTAAGGGAAGAAATACTTAAAACAGAGGTACAAAAAAGTACCAAAACAGCTTAAATTATGTTAGCTTTTTTTCTTATTGGACTTATGTTTAGAAAGCCAATTTGAATGAAAATAAAGAAGTTTCACTATCTACCTCATAATCCAGGTCCAGGTAATCAAATTCTCCATTGGTTCTGAAGTGCTGCATGTGTCTGTCCAGGGTGAGATTGATGTTTCTCCCGTGGCGCTCTATGACGATGGAGTGCCAGTGGTGATCATCCAAGAGGCTGCCTGTCATCACAGATGTGTGACCATAAATGGATCCAAGCTGGTTGCTGCCTGAGAACAGAAACAATAGCAATTCTCACCTCATACCAGTTAGACATTTTCCCCTTGCTCTGTCAATATTTCACCTGAATCACACCAGATATACAATAAACTGGAGGAAGTCAGTCTGCTATGAAGTTGAGTTCTGCCCAGAGGTGGGTTGCTGCTATAAATACAAATAACTGGATCAAATACAGCAAGTATCTGATCATTGTATTGTACAAATATATTATGAATTCATAATAGTAGTTATTAGGAGGCAAATCAGAGAAGCAATATCAAATTCTAGTTGCAAAGTTGTTTTCAACTATGGGGTTTCTGTGTTTTCATTCCTACACTACAGAAATGAAAAGCTGTCTCCTCTGGGCCATGTTCTGAGCTGCATTGGAACTTTACTGATTTATAATATTGAGGAGGACATGGAGTCTGATAAGAGTCTTTGGCAACAACAAGCCTTTTCAGTCTGAGTTCTATGCTTTGTGGCCTCTGCCAGTACAGTATACCAGCAAGCAGATAGGAAAAGGCTGAATGCAGACTGAGCTAACAGCTGCAAAAAATATCTTCTGCTAATACAGCTTATTTCAATCTCTCCTCCTGCAGCAATCTCCCTATTCTGGAAGTCAAACAACTAGCAAGAGTACAGTTTTGCAATTCTCTGCTATGTTATCCAGGGGGGTTTGCCAGTGCAGCTGTGCTAGTCGGAGATCACATCTCGTTGCCATCTGACTGACATAGCTAAGCCAGCAAAGGTTGATAGCGTGGATCTCAACTGAAGCAGCAAATGACTAATTCAGCAGTAAGTGTAAAAAATTGCTGCACTGGCCAATAACTCAGTGCAATCTTCCATGTTCTGAATGCATGAGAACCTAAAGCATTTCTGAGGCTGTGAATTTCTTACCACCAAGTATACCTGCAACTCAGACATTAAGGTTTGTGCATGTTGATAATACATTCTGGCAAATCACACTTCCATGGCTTAAGACTACTTGCCTACAAATGACCATACTGCCTTTATGCTGAAGGCCACTGATCTTGTTGGCTAAAAGATAAAATAAAATTTCATGCGCGGCCTTGAGCCTCAGTTTTTTCAATGCAAAGTCAAATCCAGTGCAAAGTGAAACCTGAATCCAATTCTGTCTCCCCACCCTTCCCCCGCCCCCTGATTTTTGAAACTAAGTGACTTTCACTTTTGAAACTAAGTCCCAACCAAGATGAACATCCTTTTTTACTGTCTCTGGTGCAAAGACAATACTCTCAGGCAGAAGAAGAATAATACTATAAAGTATTTCTTCTCTTTATTGAGTGAATGTGTGTCACAGGGCCTAGTCCCATTTATCGGTCTAGTCCTATTTATCAGCCTAGTGATTTAAGAACATTCTCATAAAGCACATACATGGAAGTTTCATAGCTTATAAAGACAGACTGAACTAAAGAATACAGAGGAACTTGAAATGAATGGGTTACTACTGCAATTAAAATTGTTAAGAATACATAACAACTATAAGAATATGTGCTTTCCTCCTCATCATCTGTTCATGTTGATTGTTATAAAGAGAGCAGGAGAAAGTGCTAGTGGAAGTACTATTCAATGTAAATAATGAATGGAACAATTTCCTCTTCACATGTCTGTAAGAGAACTAAGGAAAGTTGCATGAAATCTTTTTCTAGGGTTCTTTTCTTTTAAGGGATAAAATACTTGAAACCAGATAAATGTGGGGTTTTTTCATAATAAATGTACTTTATAAATGCAGTGACTCATGAGCCTGTAGTCTTTAGTTGGGAGGGGAAAAGGATACTGGAATTAGAGTAACATACACAAGATTTCATCATAAGATTGCCTGAGAAAGCAATCTTTCTCTTTTCCTTTCTTATTCTTACTTTGCACACTCTAGGAAGGCTGCTGAACATCATGTGGCCTGTAGCTTCCTAAATTGATACTTTTTTCTTTCTATGAGGTTCCTAAAGGTGACCTTTATTCTTCTAGAAGTGATGACAGCGTCCTCTCACACAAAGCCACAGCTGAGGCCAAATATAATTCTAGCAAGTTTTTTTTTTGTTTGTTTGTGTAAAGGCAATATATTGCTGAACCTGCTTTTCTATATGATCTCATTTTTGGAGTATCTCACACGGAATAAAAAAGGAGAGAAGAAAAACCCTCAACATATAGAAAGGGAATTAACAATATTTTCACCAAATTATTCTATTAAATGATGTGGCTTATCATATTACTGTGGGAAAGAAGATGAAATATTTGACCAAAAGTTTTTGTGGGAGAGTTAAGAACTACCACAAAACTAAACAATCAAAGCATACCTAAATTTAAATTTAGAACAAGTTTGGCTTTCTTCAGTTCCAAGGTGATATAGTCTCCTTGCTGTCCTTCTCCATGGAAGATTACACCTTCGCTTTCAGAGGTCTTAAATTTCAGAGAGATGACATCTTTCAGTGTTTTCATTTTCTTGTTCCTGAATCTGTATGGTAACACTACGTGGCCATCAAAATTGATAACATCGGCCCCTAAAGGAAAAAGCAAATAACATTGCTGATGAGTGATTATATGTTCCTGTGGCCACTGGAAAAATAGACATGACATATGCAGATTGTACCTGAAGAGAATAAAAAATGTGCAAGTGTGATATGCATTGTAAATGCATTTTCTCAACCATAATTTAATACTATAAAAAGTAGGAACCTGGCAGAATAGAAATTTAATCCACAGAATGTAAAAAAAGGCAGATTTGGGAGGACAAATACTACAACTGTACTCAAATATTTTTGGTTGCTGCCATGTACGTTTTCCTAATTATAGTTGAAAATGAAAGACAAATTTCTGAGTGGTCATTAATAATTCATTTGATACCTCTTTAAACTTCAGTATGGGTATCTTTAAGGACTGCGAACAGTAAAACATGAGTGCAAAGAAATTGCCTGGCAATTTTCAACTGTGTGTAAAACATGGACAGAAGCCTTGACTAACTCAGGAAATTGTGGATAAGTTGAAACATAAGTAATTTTGAGAAGAAAAAAAAAAATCTGTCCTTTGAGCTAAATTTTCTTCTAGGTTTACTTTTATTCAAAATATGTGAAAAAAGTTGAGGGATGCAATCATTTAAGGTCAATCCAATATTGATATAAATATTGCATAATGACACTACAAAATTTCATGTTGTCTTATTTTCGTGGCTTAATCTTAACTCTAAAGAATGAACACCTATTTTCCAGATTTTTCTGGATGCTGAATCCACAGTAAAAATAGCTGCAGAACTTGACTCCATTCAACAGATGTACTTCTGCTGAGAATTAAATCTTGTAATTTAAGCTGATCTTGGTAAAAGATTTCAAAGAGATTCTTATCTCTAAAAATTTATTACAGATTTAAGAACTGCTTAAGTAAAAATAACTTATTAAGAACTTAATAATAACTTAGTTATAACTGCTTTGTAAACTGCTAAGTAATAATCAATCACCAGTGTCTTAGCTACTATTTGTATGAGCATTTTATCCTCACTGTTCACAACTAACAATCTTTATTGTTAGTAACTAACAACAACAGTCATTAAGTAAAATTCTTAAAAAGGAATTAACAAAAATTCAACCACATCTGATTTTTGCCTACTTCTGTGGGCTACTCTTCAGTAACTGCTTACAACTTTTTAGAATTCCTAACTTGTTTTTGCTATTATGGTGAGAATTAATTGAAATCTTTCAGCTTCTTTCAAAAATACAGATACAAACACATTTTTGTTGTTTAATTAACACAGAAGTATCTTTTAAAACTCCATTTAAACACTATATATAGTATGCCTAACTGCATGTATTTAAATTTGAATTTATATGGTCAAGTCTTCCTAAATCTGCAAAGACTTATGATGAAATAATAAACTTTGATCCCCTTACTGTTTATGGCAACTAAATGGTGAATTTTTATTCAGAACAAAAAACCATGAGCATTACAAACTGACTGAAATATCCAAAATTATTAACTTCTAATATATATATAATTTTTGTCAGAATGCAGTCATATATATTAGAAATACCACTTTTCTTTATAAAATATATCTTACAATACACATTTCCATAATAATCATGTATTAAGCTCTAAGTGCAACTAAAACTCTCAGTCTGATCTGGTTACTCTGAATGATAAATTCCAGGAATATGAATCAGCTCAAAATTAAATATCAAATTAGTATGTTGAATCTGTAGTGCAATAAATCCATTTAAAAGTTATCGGGACATTTTTTCAGGCATAGATGCAGATGCATTCAGAAGCAACATTACAGGATTTCAGAGGTGCAGTTATCTTGTATTTGCTCATGACTCAGGTAATCCATTACTTCTGGAATTATTACTTTTTTGAAGAAATAAAGAAAATGGTTAGAAAAATATTGTAACAAAGATTACATCAACCTGTTGGTTTTTCTTGTCTTACAAGCTGTCAAGAGATGCAATACATTAATTCTTGAGATTTTTGTATGTAGTTTTTGGAAAACAACTTTTAGAAAAGAATGAAATCTGTCTATAGAAAAAATAGTTACATTAAAATCACTCTTTTATCACAAAAATCATACTTTTATGTAAAGCAGATTTGCTATAGAGATCATATTATTTTGAATCTACATACCACTGACTTACAAAAATGCTAAAAGTGAAAGAAAATTGATGGACATTACAGCTTAAGCAATCTTCATACCAAATATACATCATAAAAATGTGATTTCTCTTACATTGTCAGAGATTGTCTAACACTGAAATTTGTTACATTTACTTTCTGATGGTTATAGGGGGTATATCATCTTTCCTCTAAGGCCAGTTGGTACTATCTTGTAACATCTACAAAAGTTACCTTAACAGTCAGGCATCTGATCAAGAGCTGATCAGGACGTTAACTTGACTTCTGTGGGTTTGTGGATTCACAACATGATGCCCATGAAAAGGCAAGTATCACTTTTGTACCTATGCCATAGTTGCTGTTATACATATGTGTTCTTCTCATCATTCATCAAAGCAAATTACACACCTTAACAAGGCCGAGTACAAGTGGCACATTTTTACAAAACTTGTCCCTGAATTGCCATGTTTTGAAAAGCATTCAATTAAAGACAGAAACAGCAGTAATCTCTGATTAAGCAGCTTCTTTTTCTTTTTTTTTTTTTTTTGCATAGCTGTGCTGGCAGCATGCAAACAGGTCTGCATGCTAATTCAATCACCTAAATATTACATAGCAATTATGTTTAAGAGTTATCATATGTAGACTGCATTAATGACTTCTGTTCCTTCTATGATGACACTCAGATATTTAATATCATGATAATTACCATGGTACAGAATGGTACTCAGACAGTAAATCATATAATTCCTATCACTGCAGTGTGAATATATATTTTTTCTCAGCCTTAGCCACTCATCTATCAGCATTAGTAGGAAAGAGACCTAAGCCATCACAAAGTACATTTACCTGCATTCAGTGACATATGACTGCTCTCAGATGATACTGCTGCAATGGAGAAGTCATTTTTAAGAAAAGATAAAGTGAAAAAAGGAGAGAGAAAGAGAAGAAAATACAGAAAGATGGGGGAAGAAAAACTGAGAATTTGGTTTTTAATTATATGTAAATAGGAAGTACAGATCTGATTACTTTCAATTTGTTTTCTGCCCTGCTAGGTTTGCTATTATATGGGTGGATTAGAAAACACTGCTCACATAGTAAAAATATAACACCACTTTCAATTGGCTAGGGAGACATGTTAGGCCTTACCCCAGTATATGTCTGAGACGCCACATTAAAAACATTTCATTAGTTAATGACATCATCAATTTTCCTCTAAAAAATAATCAAGTCAGAAAGCCTTGCAAAGATTGGCATGGAACTGGATGACAAATGTGACCCCATTCCCAAATCTCAAAGAAAAATAAATCACCAGTCCCAGGTCTTCATACCTATGCTTTTGTCCTGTACTTTTGGCTACATGCAGGATTTGGTAAAATTTGAGAGGGGCATCAAATCTGTTTGAAGATGTTTTATTTGATGCTTCAAAATAATTTATTGAATAATTATAAATAAAACCCCTCAAATCAGACTCAACTCCAGAACTTCTCTATTTCCTCCCATAACTGTCCTCAATGTCAGCATGTGAATAAAGAAGTGTTCATTCACAATGACTTAGTACTGAGACTTCCTCACAGCTAGTTAGCTACTTTGATCAAGGTACTGCCTGGAGTTACTAAAAATCCCTGCTACCTGACACAGTAAAATAACAGTGATCAGAGCAAAGCAGAACAGCAAAGTGATGCCCAGAAAAAGGTTTACCATTCAGTGAACAAAAACCATGGCAATATGTTTCTGCACTTAAATTGCAAATTTAACATGTACATATATTTTTAAACTGCTACTGATCTCTGAATGATTGACTCTTCAAAGCCTGTACAGAATATTTCAGTGGGATTCAAGATACAAAACTTCTGTACTACTGACACACAGCGACCTTTGGTGAAATACTCACTCTGTTCTCTCTCCTCAATTATTGTATCTGCTTAAACCTTCTGTTTAGATCACATGAGTTTTAGGGAAAAGATGGACTTTTCTTAGTCCATAATGTGAACCTTTCATCTGATGTACTAGTAGTATATTAATAGATGACATTAACCATCTGAGCATCTACCATCTGGAAATATCAGGGATGTATCAAAGCATCTCTGGTTGGGCCAAATTTTTCCACATCTGAAGTTTTACTTGTAGCTATTAGTCACAGGTACTAAAATATCATTTTGAGAAGTATAAGCATATAAATAGTATATTATTTACATATTTTAACAGCAAAAAATATGTTTTCTTCTAACAAAGCAAGGGAAAAGGCTCAAAATCATACCAAAACCAAACCTTATTTTGTAATTACACACGAAAAAATGATATATATACAGAAATTACTTCAGAAAACTCCAATCAGTTTTCCAGTAGTTTCATATACTGTGAACAGCATGTTGAATTTGCCACTGGAGTCTTTGCAGCTCGAGCCTCAGCAGAACCAAGCTAGCTGAGTTCATGTTAGAGATGCATTGATACATTTCATTGCACCAAAGAAACCGAGGAAGCCACGGCCCAGCACAGCAGTCAAAAGATTGTCTCCTCTTTTATGTTTTCTTACAATGAGGCAGAGAGCCAAAGGTACCATGTCTGAACACTGCCTTCAGGCGCTACAGCCCAGCTGTAAGGGCATGGGCAACTTAGTGGCTTGAAGTTTGCTACAACAAAACTGACATTGCCTTTACTCTCTTTTTCAAAAGGCAATGCATCTGCCACGAAGGTGAAAAACCCTCAGCCTAATGCAGATACAAATGTATCTTGCATATACAATAACGTATACTACTTCATATTCTAGAGGGATATGGTGAAGGAAAATGAATCTTAAGTTTCTTTGCCTGCTTAGCTTCCACTGCACTGAATCTGAATCCTGTCGTTATCTGTCAGGTGATGTCAATGCTTGAAAGAAAAAAAAATACCTTTACTAGGAGGTGTG